AGTTTCATTATAGGGGAAGGGCATTTACGGTAGCCTCTCTACCATTGCCTAGATTGTCAGTTGGTGTCATCTTTCACCTTAGCAGTTTTAAAGTGGAATGCAGGAAGTTGTTACCACATCAGTCCAGTCCCTTTTCCCTGCCTCTTCAAATTGTTCCTCTTTGTGTATTACCTCTGCACACAACATGAACCCTACTGACAGTGTTATAATTTGTGCTTCCAGCAATCAGCATGTTGATTGGCTGGCTGGCTGGGGGTGGAGTGCATACAGCATGCTGTGGCACATGTGTAGGGGTCAGGGGACAACTTTCCAGAGTCAATTCTGGCCTTCACCTTGCTTTTGATGCATAGTTTCTCCTCCTTCTGTACTTTGTCTGCTAGGCTAGCTGGCCTACAAATTTCTGAGCAATTCTCCTGTCTCGTATCTCACTATAGGAGTGCTGAGATTACAGATGCATGCCACTGCCATGACATCAGGCCTTTAAACGCAGGTTCCAGGGATCAAACTCAGGTCATCAGTCTTATGCAGCCAGGGCTTTTACTGGCTAAGCATCTCCCTGTTAACATATATTAAAGATCTGGAAAATGCTAGTATAGTATACTCCATTATATTTACACAGCCATGTATCCTTTCTCTTGCTTTTCCCTCATCCAAATTTCTTTTCATTTCTTATATTTGGTGTGTGTGTGTGTGTGTGTGTGTGTGTGTGTGTGTGTGTGTTCATGCACTGGTCCTAGTGCACTCTCCGACACATACACATTGCCTGTACACAAGAGTGCAGGTATGTATAAAGTCCAGCGGCTGATGAGGATTTCTTCATCAATTACAGTCCACCCTATTTTTTCATATAGATCTCTCAGTGAACATGGAGCTCTCCAATGCAGCTAGGCAGGTGGGCCATTGAGCCCCAGGCATCTTGCCACCACGATGATTACATGGATGAATACTTTTCCTGGGTTTTTTAAATGCATGTTGAGAAACCGAACTCAAATTCTTCATGTTTGCACAGCAAGCAACTTACCAACCAAGAGACCTCCTCAGGTTCGTTTTTTTTTTTTTTTTTTTTTTTTTTTTTTTTTTTTTTTTTTTGCAACGTTTCTCTTCTGCTTGCAGAACCACTTTTAACGATAGTTCTCTCATGGGTTTCTGACACTGAATTCTCATTGTCTTCCTTTTTCTGACTACATGCATATTTGACTTTCATTCATGAAGAATATTTTCAGGAGATATAGAATTCTAGGCTAACAATTCTCATTATTTTATACAATGTTTTCCTATTTTCTGCCCCTTTGTAATTTATGAGAAATATGAAGTCATTCACACTGTCATTTCCATTTTCTCTTCATAACAATGGGTAATAATGAAACACTTGCCATTGGCATTCATCAAAATTTTTCTTTGCATTGTATTGTTATCAGTCCATCTTCCAATTCATTCTGGCTTCTCAGTTTTGTGATTTTCCCTATAGACAGTTCTGTTACAGTTACTATATTTTTCAATTATAAGATTTGTCTGGCTCCTGTTTATATTTTCTGGTTCTTGCTGAGCCCATCTCTTAATTCAAATTCTATCTTGTCAGTTTGAACTGTAGCACCAACTCTTCTGTCCATTAATGGAGACTCCTGCTTTTCTTGGGTTCTTTTTTGCCAACACACCTTGGGGTGGGGGATTATCTTCAGCAGAAAAAAAGCAATAACATCCATGAGTTAGTTGTAGAGATTATGTCATATGTTTTTCTTTCTCTGAGGAGTCTACTGTGTGCTGCTGACTGCCCAGTGCCTGGAGAGGTAGGTGTCTCATAGCTTTGCCCAGCTGTATACTTCTATTCTGTATAAAAACATCAGGTACTTGTTACTCTCTTGGGGTTAGAAGCAAGTCTTTGGCATCAGTTTGTTGAAATACACGCTGGGACTTAAATGATTTATCTTTTGGTTAAGAAATTGTTATAGGGGTCTAGAGAGTTGGTTCAATGGTTAAGACACTTGCTGCTCTTTCAGGGGACCAGAGTCACTTCCCAGCACCTATGTCAGGTGGCTCACAACTGCAACTCTAGTTCCAGGAGATCCAAAAACTCTGGCCTCTGAGGGTGCCTACAGTCGTATGCATACACTCCATGCAGACACACACACACACATATATAATTTAAAATAATAAAAATGAATCTTAAAAGAAAACTATATGGTTATATTGGTGATCACTGCCTTGAGAAGTAACTCAGACTGAAAGACAAATGACCATGAAGTTGAAGAAGTAACTTCATTTTTCAAGGGTGGAGATAGTCTGGTAGTAAATTAGTTCTCTTCTCTGCCCTGGGAGATTAGACAAACAATGGATCTAACTAAGAAAATAGACTGACTCATTTGGCTAAAATGCCATACTGAAGTTATAAGCAAACTGACATTAATCTTTTTTTAATTGGGGGTGGAAAGAACTGAATTCTGTATATTGTAGTAAATTATGGTCATTTCCGATATTTCTTATTGAAGAAATGGAAAAGTCGAACATTTAAGTTGATAGATATAAAGCATTCTGGATGCTGCCGGTCACCCTCACCATTTGTTAACTCTCCTTTACTATGGTCATTTCTCATGATGAAAGAAAGGCTTGCCTTTCCCCCTGCTTGCCTTGAGCATTTCCCAACGACCTGTCCAAGAGCATATAAGAGACTAGATGCATACAAGAAGGAAAGTAGGAAGAAAAGCTGTGTGGACTGCACTATGTAATGGGTCATGAGTGGCTAGGGGTGGAGCAGGGACAGAAGTGGAGTCAGATCTGGAAGAGAGCAGTCATTGGGTCCAGACAGCCTCCAGACAGGTCAGGAGGGGTGTTTGGGTGGACCTTTCTCACATCTGGCTTTAGCCTCTCTTGAACTTTTTTAGCCTTTTGCCTTTGACCAAAACTGATTTGTACTCTGTAAGGCATGTGGCGCTTCCTCGTGTTCCTCCCATGAAGCTCTTTGGGGAGGATTTAATTGGCTCTGATGATGGTCCATCCCTTTTCCAGGAGGCCTCTTTCAGGTTTAGGTCATTCCATTGGCCTCGCCATCAACTGAAGGGTAGGTCTCCTGGCCATATAATTCCCTGGGTGGAGAGGAAAGGATCCTAAACCGATGGTCACACTCAATGTGTTCCTAACAGCCCCTGAGCTGTGAGGACAGGATGTGCTGGCATGCATGGGACTTGTGAGCTGGCGTTTCAAATGTAGTTAACGTTTTCATCGTCCATGTAACCTGCCTACCTTCCCGAAATCCCCATGTGTTGCCTGGCTTTATTTACTGGTAGAAGCAAAACTTGAGTACTTCAAGAAACTGAGACAATGGCGAGTGGAGATGAATTTTAGCTTGTCCCTCTGCTTCCTTCAGAAAGAAGGCTTGTGTCCATAAATTGAGGCGCACGAGGTAATGCTGTTGGGAATGATCCCGGCCGTCCCCTGCCCTCGTGAGCTCCTGCTCAGAACAGCAGCGCACCCCCCTCCCTTGCCCAGCGAAGACGAAGAAGCAGAACTTCCCCTGGGTCGCAGCCCAGTGATATGGAGCAGCTCTGGCGCAGAGCCCTGCTCTTCCCGAGTCGTGGGTGGCGCGGTGCTTGTTTCCCTCTCCTCCCTTTCCGGACCCAAAAGGGGATGTATCTGGGTCAGCCTGGGAGGGGCCGGACCTGCCACGGACAGCGAGGGGGAAGGGGGTGGCGATGACAGCATCTTTCAGGTTTTTGGCATCTCTGGGCTGTGCCTCGTCCAGCCTCTCACGGCTCGGTGCTAGGGGATAGAGGGCGTTCTGGAGGATCCTGACCCAAGAGGTGGTCGATGCGGGTCGGGGGAGTACCGCCGTCCTTCCTATCAGCCTGCCTGCCCTACACACAATGACCATACAACCCCTTTATACTCCCTATTCCCCAGGGCACTCTCCTGGGTGGTGGCAGCGGGCCCCTGACCCCAGGAAAAGAGCAATGGAAGAGTTCAAGGTCGCTGTAAGTTCCTGGTCTTCCTTTCCGGTGATAAACCACAAGGCTACAAGCCAGTTGCTCTTCAAGATGCTCCACCCTCGGGCCCAAGCCCCATCTCCATCTCTACTCTGTGGGGACCCAAGTCCGAGATCCAGCGTCACCATACTTTGGCCAGACACACAGGTTGGGCACCCTGGCTGGAGAGGTGTAATCCAAGCCAGGGAGCAGACACCTGGGTGCCTAGGAGCCCCTTTCTCCGTGATCTCTGGCGCTCCCTCGACAGCGCTAGGAGGAGCTGGGTGTGCGTAAAAGCCGCACCTTCCCAGGGGCACTTAGGCTGAAACTGTTGCTTGAGAGCTCCTGGGACCCAGCCACTCTGCCCCCACTCTCTTCGTGTATGGAACACAGGAATCAAGGCCAAAGGTCTTCATTTCCAAGGCCGAGGCTATCCATTCTCAACCTAGCCTACTCCAACACTGCAGATCCCAATTCCCACTGAGTACTACCTCCCAGGATTGAAGCAATGAGTTGAAAATAATTTTTGGTTTCTTGTATCCTGTGCGCAGTTATCTCCCCACCCCCCTCCCACCGCTGTCCCCCTAAGGTTGCATGATCAGGGACTTCAGTTTACCAGAAACTGCTAGCCTTGCTGAAGCGGAGCCTACATTCTGGTGGTGGCCCTAGCCCACGGAAGCTCTTTGATCAGAACTTCCCAGAAGGTGCCTTTGCCACAGTGATGCTCGGGGAAACCCTGAGGTTTGCCAATCTCCTCTGTCCCTCCTCACCCGGAGGTATCTCTTGCTTCTCTATAAAACCTGGTGCCCCCCACGCCCCGCCCGGCGCA